GGGAACACGTGCACCACTGAGCAGCCTGTGGAGAGCAATCTAAAGTTGAGAGAGATCTGGCCAACGGAACAAAGGATGTGGGAAGTAATAGCAGCTGAATAATTTGTTACACATATGTACAGAATGTAGTCTGCAACAAAAAACTGCTTCTGATGATCTGAGAGGTTTTGGATCACGGGTCCTCTCAGCATTTACACTAAAGATGAGTCTCATATCTAAATAAATGTGGGTTTCACTTCTTATTTCTTTTCTTTTTTCTGTCCTCATTGGTACAGAACATGATCTGCCACATGATTCTGAAAAATATCTGCGATGTGCGTCATTGTGTCTGCATGGGTGCATGGGTGTCTATTAGCAGGAGGTGTTTGGCATGGCTTAACTGTCAGTCACGTAGCCTACAGAAGGAAACAGGCCGGGTATTTGTGTGTGTGTGGGTGTTCTTGGATATTTCAAAGTTTGAATTGTTCAGCTGCACTTTGTTTCTTCTACAAAGACTGAACGTTAACAGAAAGATGACCTATGTCTACCCTTATAAAAGCCCTGATCATTAAAGGAAATGACCACTTTAGAATGAAAATACAGACAGTACTTACTGACCCTCATGCCAACAAGAAGTCCAGTGTAGTTTTTTAATCCACAAAACTCGTTCGGGGTATCGGAGGATAACAGCTAGCCAAATTTTTCCATACACTTGAAGTGCATGGAACCCACGTCCAAAATCAGTTTGAAAATGTAATAAAACTCTGCTCATGCATTTCAAAAACGTCAGAACGGCTCGTCCGTTGTAATCCAAGTGCCCTGATGCCACGGCATGCAAAATTGCTCGTTGTGTTTACATGGCAACTCGCGAGACTCGAGAACGTTCAGAGACGTTCTCAAGTCTCGCGCGAGTTGCCATGTAAACACAGCACGCCTGCAGGGAAGGCTAACTGACCACGGTGAGAAATTATGCTATAAAAGTGGAGTAAATTATGTCTTTTCAAGTCAATTTTGCATGCCACGGCTTCAGGGCACTTGGATTACGACGGACGAGCCGTTGTGACGTTTTTGAAATGCATTAGCGGAGTTGTATTACATTTTCAAACTGATTTGGGACGTGGGATCCATGCACTTAAAGTGTATGGAAAAATCCGTCTAGCTGTTATCCTCCAATACCCCGAACAAGTTTTGTGGATTAAAAAACTACACTGGACTTCTTGTCGGCATGAGGGTCAGTAAGTACTGTCTGTATTTTCATTCTAAAGTGGTCATTTCCTTTAAGAAGAAAATTAGTAGACATAATTTATTTATGATTAATGCTTCCCCAGCTCCACAAAGTGCTCTGGGTCCTAGTGCATGCTGTCATGCATGTATTATCTTGATACAGATGGAGACTTGACACTGGACAAAATCAACATATATATATTACGCAGCAATCATCACTGCATATCTGACAAAAATGTCAAAGAAGAAGAAGGAAAAAGAATAAATTAATCATTTAATTGAACTGTTATACAGTATATTTATAATTTAAAAAAATAAATTATAGCTTATATAGAAAAGCATGCAAAAAAGAAAACTGATGCAGATGTATTTGCCTGTTTGAGGACATATAGCAAATGGCACCATTTTTAATTTAATAATAATTTTTTTTTCCTTACATCTCTGAACACAGGTATATTTCCGAGGTGGAAATCTAAATCACTTGCAAAGGCCTGCTGTCTCTACAGACCCCTCCACCTCAAACGCACTGCCTGCACGGTCTATACTTATCCCCCTGACAACAACACATAAAAGCAAATAATATCAGATAAGTCAGACATGTATGACTTAGACCACACTGTGTGATGAGGAATCGGATTGCTCCTCCAACCACTGCGCCTTTCAAAGCCAAGCGTGTCTAATTGTCGGTCTTTCATTGAATTTTCTGCACCAAAACAAGGAAACCTACAAATCAGAGAAAAGCCAATATGTTGTCTTGACGCGGCCTCAGCAGCTTGAGTTCACCATGGCAACAGTGTTTTAATCTAGATGGGAGGACATCAGCTCAATCCTGTTGTCTCTGCAGACCCAAAGATTGAGGTGAAGCCTGGAAACAGCTTGAGAATGTTCCTGTCAGTGGAAATGGAAAATCTGTTTACACATAAGTTCACAGTAATTTTAATTGTTGGATAGTAGTGTTTTGCAAACAAACACCTACACATGGCTCTTTTAATTAACAACAGATTTTATTATTTCTGACACACCAGGAGATAAACAACATTCTCCGGTGATTTGCATATAAATATTACTGATTAGATTTTTTTTTTTTTTTAATAACAGTGGGCGAATATTAACTAACTTTTCCCATTAAGATAAACAATATTGTTGCTGTTATGAAAGATCAACAGATTGATGCCACACTCATGTTTGTATGCTAAAGATGAAGCTAAAGCCAGCACCTAGTTAGCTTAGCTTAGCTCAAAGACTTGGAACTAGGGTCAGAAAGGCTTGGTCAACTCACCCATCCTCTTAATCAGTACCACACATAAAGCTAACTGGCAACCCCTTAAAAACTGGCACCCACCGCAGGGTCTGGGAGCAGTTTTTTTCAAGGGATCGAGTCTGCATAGGGCCAGCTTCCTTTAAGGGTCTGGGGGCGACCCAAAGTCTGTAACCCAGTAACATCAGTAACCACCGACTCTCACTGCTGACACATTGTGGAGTTTTCAGATGGTGCCCCGATACTGCTTCACTCCCAGCGGACAGGGGGACACTCAACGTGAAATAAAGACAACTGGATGGAAAATCACATTTTTTTGCATCCGATCCGATACGGAGTCCTTTATTTTGATACAGAGTCCGATACCAAGTCTGATCTGCAGCACAAAATGTAAACAAATTCAATGTCTTCTTCCTGTCTTCAACAAACAAAATAGGCCTATATCTTTTATACATTGGAAAGTGGAGGCAACAATGAACAACATAGATGAAAAACCTGGCCATTTTTGTTGTTTTGATTCCTCCGATCTTTTATTACCGATTCCGATTTTGTAAAAATAACAAGATTGGAGCTGATACCCGATCTGATCCTCGGATCGGGACATCCCTACCATTAACAAAATGGTTTCAAGTTTCAATTATAGTAATAAAAGTTTGCTCAACCAAAAATAACCCTACTGTTTTTATTCCTTGAGGGTCATCCTAACTGATAATGATATAAATTCTGTAATACTGTGATTCCGTGAAACTGCAATATTTTCCAAGACAGTTGCCATACTGTGAAAAGCTCATACTGTTGCAACACTACTTGGAACAGGAGGAAACTGCTAGCATGGTTCTCTTTAAAGGTGACACTTAGCAGCAGTGTTAAAGCTCAACAATTAACAAATTATATCTTGTTTGTAGAAACGCTACAAAAGCAGTTCCCAACTGGTGGGTCATGGTCCAAAAATGAGTCGCGGCCCATTCTGAATAGACCGCAAGTGACTCACGACGTGTCAAGTTTGTAAAAAAGAAAACACACTCTATTTTTAAGTATAGTAAATTTCCAGCACAGAGCTTTTATCCAGAAGCGCCATTTTCTGCTGCAGAGTGAGTGATTAACTGACAGCTACTTGACAGAGACAACAAACTAGCTCAACGACATGACCAGACACACTATGACGCTGAATATATTGAACTGCGTGGACCTCGAACTAATGACTAAGAAGAAAGAAAGAAAGTTGGGATGAACCACTCCTCTACAAAAACAAAATCGTGAAAACAACACGCTTCCAGGCTTCGTGCTAAGCTAACTAGCGGCTAGCAATAGCTTCATGTTTACTGCACAGAACGGCATCAATTGTCTCATGCAACTCTGAGCAAGAAGGTGATAATCAGATTTCCCAAAATATCAAAGTATTTCTGTAAGGCTTGATAATGATATTATTTTTACAAATTCATAAACTGTGCATTTCTGTATAGACTTCAGTAGCATGTAGCGTTGAGTCTGACATTGACATATTGGGCCTGAATGATTACAGGTTATAGATTCTGTTGTCTCACTGTGAAGGTGCTGCAAGAAAAAAACAGTCTCCGCTCTGTTACTCCTGTTACTCTGTAACTAATCTGCAGTGTGTATCTGCTCTCCACAGGGTCCTCTGAGGTCACGTTATCTTGCCTCTTAACTGCCTCTCCTGCTCTGGCAGCTTGCTTTAACAACTCTAAGCTCCCAGGCCTGGATGTCTCCTGTCTTTGTCCCCGTTTCACTGATGCATTATTTTTACTTTCTTTAGTTTGAGCCTTGAATCTCACGTTTCTATTAATGGCTTTGCTCCTGCTTGCGTAACCATGACTGCTATGATTAATAATAAGAACGTTATTGTGCAACTAAAATACCTGCACATGTCCTCACCTGCTCTCTTGGCTCAGCCACTGTTGATGTTTACATATTACCTCAGGAGCTTATAGTTGTGTCTCTTTCTTCCTGCTGGATTTAACTGTACACCGGACAGGAGCAGAGCTGGGGATGTTTTGCCACTCATGACTTCATGAAGTCGTCTAAATTAAGTGGTAATGTAAGTTTCAGTTACTTACCACCACCTGAGCAAAACTTGGGTGTAATCTGACACTTGCACCATTGAGCAGAAAATTTATCAACAAAATCTGAGATTGAAATACAAAAGCACATTCAACAGGCTGTAAAACCGTTGCTCCCGTCTACTCTACCGAACTACCTCAACCATGGGTTTTTCAAGCCTGGTGACACACTTGGCTGTAATTGGCCTGAAGGGCTGCATACCTAAACACCTCTGAAGCAAATACGTTTGCAGCGAAGTGCAGTGAGGAGTTTACAGAAGTCTAAACCAGTATAACCAAGCAACCTCTCAGACTGTCACACCACAGATGAGCAAACACATCTGGTCGGAACAGCAGGCGTTCACCCTGTCACAGGAGAGGAAACACAGCTTTTAGGAACATTATGTACAGTACAGATCTTAATAGAGATAATGACGGACGGGCAAAGAAAGAAAACTTTACATGACGTAGTCTCACAAAGCTTACCTGGAGGAAATGTTTATTACATTTTACCCATTTCAAATGGCACAAAGCAGATTTAGAAAAATAAAAATCCTTAATATACAATATCTACCACACGTTGCATGTTATCAGAAGCTGTGTTTCAGATCAGTATCAGTACTGTTAGCTATATTAAAAACATCACAACATCACATCATATTTTGGTTTATGTGTCCCTAATCTATTCCTTTTAATTTCATTTTTATTGGCCCTCTGGTAGCTGCTGGGCCATTCACATGAATTATATCTGCTTAAAGGATTTTTTCAATTTTTTTTGTGATAACTAGTAGGCAAATTTCCTCTCCTTCAGTGTCAATGTATTTGCAGTAAATTTAGAATACTGATTCAGGTTTACTTTACAATATTTACAATTTGCAAGCGCTGTGTTCATGCAGTGAATAAGCGGTCCTTCTTGCATGGGAAGACTGCCCCCTTGTGGCCATCAGCATGAAGTAAAGGTTTTCAGTGGTTACAATGAGCATGATAATACCAGTAATACATGAGTGATATTTGGAAAAAAAAAATACTATATCAAGCAAAGATCTGTGCTATGGGAGTGAAAATATGCTTTCAGATTTTTACGCAAACCAAACAATACATGAGCCGACTTCTTCCCACCAGTTAAAGATTTACTTATCAGTGAAATATTAAGGTTTTTTAGAGCATGAAAAAAGCTACAAGCTCTTGTCCTTCCAGAGCTACAGGCAGGTTTACTAAACAGTCATCTTCATGTCTGTTTCATCTCTGTCATATTTCAACTATTCTATCAGCATCTGAATTCCACCTGTGTCTTATGCCATAAATTTCACCATCATGATTCCCACAATCATGCAGATCCACTGCAGTTTGATCATATTTCCTGATGAATCGATGACCAGTTTTTGAACCATATGTAGCTGTTGACTGGAGAGATATTTCCCTGTTGAAGGTATCCACAGTGAGCACTCATACGGCTGGCTCAGGTTTCCTTTCTGCACAACTACTGTACTGCTGACATTGTACCGCTGATTATCCACCACTTCCTGTGGGACGGCAAGGTCTGTTAAGTTAACGTCTCCCTGGAACCAGTGGACGGTGCCATCGGGGTAAACTCCTGTGAACCAGCACTCAGCATGAGTCTCATTGATGGAGGAGCCAACACTTCCAAGGCAGTCTGTAAAGATTAAGGACATTTAGAAAGATAACAGAAGACAGGGAGGAAACATGTAAATAAAGAAAAAGTCATAACTCACCTTGTACTGTAACTACAGTGGTGTTAGACCCTGATCCGGAAGTGGAGCGCAGTTTGCAGAGGTATGTTCCCTGGTCATCTGGCGTCACATTTAGGAGAGTCAGAGTGAGGCTGTGGTCACCACGCTCACACAGAACCTTGCGGTCAGGTTGGCCGTGTCCATTTTGACACACACTTCTGTCTCTAGCCAGCCATTCAAATGATCTAATATCCAACTGGTGTGACGAGACGGCATCACAAGTCAGTGTCACATTGTTTCCACACTGGGCAGCGACCTGGGAAATGGTCTGTAGCTCCACACTTTCACTGACTGCATCATCAGAGAGAGGAAAATCAGTTATCTCTTTTAGTCACATTGTGTTATCATTTTTTTTATTTCAATGTCAATACTTAGCATTTTTTTGTGCTCCTCTTACAGGTGATTTAGATTTGGGGCTGCTGGTAAACTGTGGTCGGTTATAGTTTTAGAGTTCAATCAATCAATCAATCAAACTTTATTTATATAGTGCCTTTCATACATCAAAAATGCAACCCCAAAGTGCTTTATCTTAAAGGACTAGTGAGACATTTTGGGAAATAGACTTCATCGTTTTATGACCAAAGGCTAGATTAGAAGATAGGTACCACTCACATGTCTGACCACAATTAATATGTAGCTATAGCCAGCAGCCAGTTAGCTTAGCTTAGCACAAAGACTGGAAACAGCTAGTCTGGTTCTGTCCAAATCCACCCACCAGCACCTCTAAAACTCCCCAGCGTTGAAAATCAAGATTAGAAAATATTTTTGAAGATGTGGTTTGTGTTTGATTTAATCAAATCCTTGGAATTTCATTGTAACACTAAAAAGTGGGCGGGCCTGGAGTTATGCATGCTAAGGAGCTACAGAAGACTTTAAATTATTGTTTTGTTATTTTTTTTGTAGTTGATTACTCAAACTACAAACAATTGCGGGCTATGATAGGAAAGATTATTTTTATAGCTCTGTGCTGGTGATAGCCGTAGTCTAAGGTATTATGTTTTTTGGTTGTTCGTCCATCCGTCTGTCCCATTCTTGTGAACGCGAATTTCTTCAAATATGGCACAAATTTCCACTTGGACTCAATGATAAACTGATCAGATTTTGGTGGTCAGAGGGCAGAGGTCAAGGTCACCGTGACCTTGCATCCTTCTCAATCTCATGAACACAATATCTCAAGAACAGCTTGAGGTAATTACTTCAAATTTGGCACAAACGTTCACTTGGACTCAAACGACGCACTGATTACATTTTGGTGGTCAAAGGTCAAGTCTACATGATGTCATCTGTCTCATTTCTGTGAACGCCATATCTCAAGAACACCTAGAGGTCATTTCTTCAAATTTGGCACAAATATTCACTTGGACTCAACAATGAAATGACTAGAATTTTGTGGTTGAAGGTCAAAGGTCAAGGTCAATGTGACCTCACAAAATATGTTTTGCCATAACTCAAGAATTCATATGCTACTTATGACAAAAGTTCACACAAATGTCTAATAGGATAAAATAATGAAATAATGACATTCTATATCCAAGAGGTCAAAGGTCAGCTTCACTGTGTCATCATAATGTTCTGCATAAAACACTTTTCTGGCCATTATTCAATGTCAATTCTCAAGAACAGAAGGGGAGATGTCAGTCAGATCTTTAACTGGTGACACTAATTCTGGGTGCCCACCTTGAAACTGTGCTGTCGCTGGGACATTTGGTGTGAAGCATTCACACCAAGAGAAACCTGCCTGGTGCGCGGAGGCATACAACCAAGAAAAAAAAAATCTGAAAAAACATCTTTTCATGCACAAAACAAAGCCTCACCAATAATGCAGACTGCTGACATGAACCAGATGATGGAGACCCAGCCAAAAACATGCTGTGTCCTCACACCAGAGGAGAAACTCATCACTTTGATCTGTGTTAAAAGCAACATGTATCACATTAGATCAAACCGTAGAGCTACTGTACTGTACAAGAGGTAAATAAAACAAGTTTGTCTGTACTCACCACCAAACACAAACACGCAGCTAATTGTCTTATATCCAGTGTGGATCTCTGTGGTGCTAAAGCTCAGGAGAATGGGTTATATGTAAGAATGTTCACTGAGTCAGGTTCAGTGTTTGAGGGGAATCTTCAAGTCATGTGGTGTCAGGTTTTCACTTGAACAGGAGCAGACATGCCCTGGAATGAATGACTGCTGGGAAAGGTTTCGTTTCCTGTCGTCAGACGCCTGGTTAAAAGACTCACAGTCCAAAACCATGGAGATTTTATTTTGTAAATCATCTCTACTTTCCTGGTTTATGAATATTTTAATATTTTCTTAGTTTACACTTAATTCTGGCAGAACACCCGGAAAGGTCATGAAATATTTATTTTAGCAAATACATATGAATTACGAACATATACCAATTGAATATATTTAATAGTTTATTAGTAACATGGATTTAACCATTTTTTTCCCTGTGTACTGACCCCAAAGAGCAATCTTCACACATATTTATTCATCATGAAATCAATTCTGTCTTCCTTCATATTTAAAGCCCAGAGGCTATGTGAATATCTTTAGACCTGTGTCACCTTCACATATATGGATTCAGCAGATACCAAAATGCTGTGATTGATACACGCAAGATGGCTGCTGCTGCCTCTTTGGGCTCAGAGTTACTCTCAGAGTTATTCTATCCATCAAAAATCAGCAAAATATAGAGCCATCCAACCAGGATTAAAAATCTGTTAAGGCTACACAGATGTTTTCTCATGATGCAGTTGGGAATTGCAGCCAAGTAAGTGGAACTTTGACTATTTTTTTGGGACATACTTTCAAGGCCTGGAAAAGCAGGACTGTCGCAAGGCCCTGGAGGAAGTGAGCTGAGAAGCTGGATAAACTTAAATTGTGGGCAAGATGTCAGTCACAACAAAAAAGCTTGCAGAAGAATTAGAGGAGATTAAAAAATCTCTCAACTTTATGTCAGAGGAAATCAGCAAAGTGGTTAAACAACAGGCCACACTCATGAGCCTCATGGGGGAAGTGCGTGAGCTGAGAGTCATGATAAAACAAAGGGATCAGAGGATTGAGCTGCTGGAGCAAAGAGTGGATGACTTGGAGCAGTTCACTCGTGCTGGAGATATTACAATTACAGGATTGGAAACCAAACATCGCAGCTACGCTCGGGCTACAGCCTCAGATACTGCAGGTGAGGATGCACCACCTGAAGAATTACAGACACTAGAGGATCAAGTTGTGGCATTTTTGAACAATAAAAACATCACGATAGAGAAGAAACACATTTCAGTATGTCACACACTTTCAAATAAGGATAAAGTGAAACCCACAATAGTGGTCCAGTTTTCAAACCGAAAGCATAAAGTGGAAGTGTTGAAACAAACAAGAAAGCTGAAGGGTACTGGAGTCTACATTAATGAGCATTTAACAAAGAAAAATGCAGAAATTGCCAGACAGAGCCGTGTGCTCAGAAAGGAGAAGAAAATTCAGTCAACGTGGATAAGAAATGGCAAAGTGTTCGTGAAGTCAAATGGGTCACCAGAGCAAGCAAAGACTGTCATGATACATAACATGACAGACCTGGACCAATTCAAGTGATAATTATGCCTCGGACAGTTGTAAAATGGACTTTACTGCAAGTTTGTTTTGTTTGTTTGTTGTTTTATTTTCCTCTTTAACATAGACAATACTTTAATTTTAGACAGGACAGTAAATCCTGATAGTGATCCTGAAATATGCTCAAATGAGAAATTTAAGTTAAGTTTTCTAAATGAGACTGATCACAAACAATTTAGTTTTGAAAATAACGTGGATCCTGAGTTAAAGCTCTACAAAGATTTGATGAATGATGCTAAATATTATACTGAAACTCAGTTAGATTGCCTTCATTTAGAGGGTTTCTCAATGCTACATTTCAATAGTAGGAGCCTCTATACTAATTTTGAAAAAATAAAAGATTATGTGCTATCATTAAAACGCACTTTTCACATAATTGCCATAAGTGAGACCTGGATCTCAGACTGTAGGTACGATAACTCTTTTCAGCTGGAAGGTTATGATTTTTTCAGTGCAAATCAGAAGAATAAGCGAGGTGGTGGCGTTGGGTTTTTTGTACAAACAGACTTTCAGTGCAAACAAATTGACTGTACAGTGGTAGATGATTTAATGGAAAGTCTCACAATTGAAATTGCTTCAGTACAATTCAAGAGTATTACTTTAAGTTGTATTTACCGGACACATGGATCTTGTATTGAACAATTCACAACTACAGTAGTTGACTTAATCAGAAAAATAGGAAATAAGAAAATGCTTTTTGTTTGCGGTGACTTTAATATTGATTTATTAAAATGGAAAGAGCATAAGTTAACAACTGATTTCTGTAATACAATGTTCAGTTTTGGCCTCTGGCCTCTTATAAATAAACCTAGTAGGATTACTAAGGATACTGCCACACTTATTGATAATATTTTTTCAACTGCCATTGTTCAAACAACATGCGGGTTGCTCATAAATGATATAAGTGACCACCTTCCTATTTTTATGATCATGCACAGTACAAAGTCCTCAAATGCACCCCAGAATAGTGAACTTTTATTCAGGTTAAGACGGTTAAGAACATCAGGAAGACTAGAATCCTTAAAGGAAGAACTCAAAAGTTGTAATTGGGAGACGGTTTATGTGGAAAATCCAAATCAGGCTTATGAGGCTTTTCTAATAAAATTTCTAAATGTATACGATAAGCACTGTCCTATAAAAAAGTATTTAGTAAAAGGTAAAGACTTAAATAAAGAACCATTCTGGATGACTAAAGGCCTCCAAAAGTCATGCCAAAAGAAAAAAATGCTTTATAAACAATTTTTGCAATTAAGAACCAAAGAAAGTGAACATAAATACAAATTATATAAAAATAAATTGACCACAATCATAAGACTACAAAAGAAAAAATTCTACTCTGAAAAGATAGAAGCTAGTAAAAACAATATACAAAAAACTTGGAAAGTAATAAATCATATTATTAGAAATAAATCCACAAAAACTGAATTCCCAAATTACTTTTGGAATTTCAGTGGATCAAAAGTTGAGCATTTAAAGACAATTGCGAACAACTTTAATGATCATTTTGTTAGTATTGGACCTACTTTGGCAAACAACATTTTTGTGGACAATCAAAATAAAGAACTCTTTAATGGGTTAATCAAACGGAATTTAAATTCTATGTTTCTTTGTGGGATTGAAGAAAGGGATATCATTGACGTTGTAAATAAGTTTAAGAACAAAACATCAACTGATGTAAACCTTATTGATATGTGTACACTTAAAGAGGTCATCCATAGCATTGTAAAACCTCTAACCTATATATGCAATCTTTCTTTCCAAACAGGCATCTTCCGACAAGACATGAAACTAGCCAAAGTAGTACCCATCTTTAAAAACGGTGACAGACACAATATGGACAATTACAGGCCAGTAGCTTTACTGCCACAATTTTCAAAAATTTTAGAAAAGCTCTTTATAAAACAATTAGATAACTTTATTGAAAAATATAATATTTTAAATGAACAACAATATGGATTCAGAAAGAATAGAACAACCACATATGCAGTAATGACGATGGTTGAAGAAATAGCTAATGCCATCGACAATGATCTTCATACAGTAGGTATTTTTATAGACTTAAGTAAAGCTTTTGATACTATCGATCATAACTATTTACTGGAAAAAATGGAACACTATGGATTTAGAGGGACAGTTCACGCATGGCTGAAAAGTTATTTAGAAAATAGACAGCAATATGTTCAAATAAACCAAACAATGTCTGAACTTAAACCGGTCACCTGCGGATTGCCTCAGGGCTCCATCATTGGCCCCAAATTGTTTATTCTTTTTATTAATGACATATGCTGTGTTTCTAATAAGTTAAAATGTATTATATTTGCTGATGACACAAATTTGTACTCCTCTGGGGGAAACTTAGAAGAACTTTTGCACACTGTTGAACAAGAGCTTGGAGTGCTTAAAACCTGGTTTGATGTCAATAAATTATCTCTTAATATAAAGAAAACTAAATTTATGATATTTGGAAGCCAATCTGGAAGTGATAGTAAATTAAAAATCTCTAACATTGAAATAGGAAGGGTTTGGGAGACCAAATTCCTCGGGGTTGTGATTGATCACAAATTAAATTGGAAGAAACACGTTGAGTATGTAAAAGGGAAAATCTCAAAATCAATTGCAATCATGTATAAAACCAAAGACATGCTAAATCACAACAGTTTATATTTAATTTACTGTTCATTGATACTTCCTTATTTGACTTACTGTGTGGAAATATGGGGATCTACGTTTAAAACCACAATTGATAAAATTGTATTACAACAAAAACGAGCCATACGCATCATAAACAAAGCCGGTTACTATGATCATACTAATCCATTATTTTTAAATTCCCATGTTTTGAAGTTTAGAGACTTGGTTTATTATAGAACAATGCAAATCATGTTTAAAGTAAATAATAAAACACTACCAGACAGCGTGCATAAGTTCTTCATAGTGTCTCAGAGTAAATATGAGTTGAGAGATGGAAGCAAATTTATGTTACCAAAAGCTAAAAAAGAAGTTAAAGGAAGATGCATTTCTTTTAAGGGGGTTCAGCTGTGGAACAGTGCTGATCTCAAACTAAAGCAATGTACTTCCTTTGTTATGTTCAAGAAATCATTATGTGCATTTATATTTAGGAGTTATGGCTGTAATTGAAAAACAAAAAAGGGAAAAGAGTCATGTATGTGCATGAGTACGTATGTATGTGTGTATATATGTATGTATTATTTTATTTATATATTTTTTTTTCTTTTCCCACTTGACATCAAGAATTGTGTAGCTCAAGATGCATAGCAGGCGGGCATCAATAAGCTTCGCTTCTGCCTGAGCCTTTTTCAGTCAATTTTGTATTGTTCTTTTCTTTTGCTGCTTTGAAGTATATATATATGACTGAAATAAACTAAACTAAACTAAAAAATATATTTCAAAGGTTTTCTAGGTCAGTGCTGTCGCTTCCATCAGATCTGACCCTTGCCCCTGACAATGTGCAGTGTTGGTGCCATCTGACAGTAGGAG